TGGGTGGAGAGAGGCACTGTGAGAGTAAAGTGTCTTGCCCAAGAACACAACACAATGTCTCCGGCCAGGGCTCGAACCCGGACCCCTCGATCCGGAGACAAGCGCACTAACCATGAGGCCACCGCCAAAAGATCCTTATCTTTAAGGATCTTTGGCAGGTCCTTGAAGATCTTTAAAGATCCTCAAAGATCGTGTCAGGATTCTCACCAGGGTTAACTACCCAAACTGGATCAATTATTTGGCAAATCTGCAGGCCAGTTGTTGTTTCTGTCATACCAAATTAATGCACTCATTTCTATAACCACACGTACATATTTATCAACCGTATATTATTAGCGAATGGTTGACGGGGACATAATATTATTATTCTCTCTAAAGAGCTCGTTACAACGCGCCTTTATGGATCGGAAAATCTGTACTGCCCTTGATTTCTGTTGCGTGACATTCACGCTTTACGCGTCTTCGCGTTTCACAGACTCGAGTGCGCGATTCACCCACCCTCGCAACGAGCGAGTCGCGTTGACCAACTGTGCGTGACCGGCAATTGACTTATCGTTGTTTTCCTACATAATAAACACTCGATGCATATTTCTCGCCCAACACAGCTGTACATTTGATTGAACTATCATCAACAACATTGAGGACGTCGAGTGGAGAATCCATTTACAGGTACCTTTTTGAACATTATCCAAGTTAATAAACTAAGGGTTGTCTTTTATGTAGTGGAAACGAAACGATAATGTGAAACTTTGTCATCTCACAAAGGGCTGTCGCTTTCAATAATTCCGAACTTTATTCCAGGGATTCAAACAAGAGCTTAATGATGCAAAACAGAACATTTTTACGTTTGTTTAATTATCTTTTTTTAGCGGCCTTGATATTTTTTTCAGTTCCATGCGACACGCTCAAGTCAGGGCAGGTTCGAGATCATTTTATTTTTTTTTCCTTCTAAGAAAACAAACTCTCTTGACAGGAGCTACTTAGCTCTGTAATTGTTATTGCCTTTTCTAGCTGTAGCGACTGACCTCAAACACGTCATTTCCTTTTGATTAAGCCATGATACTGGATGGTCAATGTGTCCTTAAATGGCCGCCGGAAGTCACGGTCACCACCTCATTCATTCAGCGGAAGTTGACGTTTTAAATAGACTGAAGTTTAAAACTGAGCTTAACTAGAAAACAAGCAGAGTAGATTTGATCAGTTAAAGGGAAAACATCGCGAACTCGCGTATTACAAGGTGGGTTATGTACGGATCAATTCAATGTTACTAGTTATTTTAATGTACCGAGTCTCTCTGCATGTGTCCTTAACTTGCACATTAACTTTTGCAGTTAGATTTAAGAAACATTTTCCTCATTTTATAAAGAATACGGAACTGGTCGTGTTTAACTCAAATGCGACGTAAGTCAAAGCTAGCTGAGAGAAGACAATACGGTATTGATCATTCGTCCATGCATGTACCAACAGGGTGAACTTCAGTTGTCAAGTATGCTAAGTGGCATAAAAATGGAGTACTGTTATTTTTCCAGCTTGCATTGCGCTTTAAGTAAAAACGCGCCTCAGCCGATCACAAATCCATTTATAAAGCCACTCGTCAGATCCGACGGAATATCTTATCCGTACTAAAGTGCTTTAGTAGCAATTTATTAATGAGTGTCAAATGGGATAGATCTCTAGCACAAGTGATTTCCGCCAACGTTCTGCGCAAACGTTCTGCGCGTGGTACGGAAATGGGAGGTTATACTCATAAATGTGCGAAAACTCTGTGCGTGGAGTGGATTACACTCGGCCAATAACGAGGGGAAACCGATGAACCATGTTTGATGACACTACTTTATCCTAGCTTATGACAAGTTTGCATTTGCGTTTGGTGTGTGAAACTTTAACTGATTTTAAGTTCTTTATGATTTGTTATTTCTCAGGAGAAATGGCCGTGTGTTCCTCTAGAATAGGTATTTCCAGATTGGTTATCCTATCAAGCCTGCTTCTTGGGTCACATTCGTTCGCCGGTAGAACATCCCGAAGATTTATAGGCTTTCCGGAATCTGGCGAGAGAGTTAACTACAGTAATGCAAGGGATAACAACAAGACACTGATTATTCGCCACAGTTTACCAGTAAGTAACTCAATTTACATGTAATCCTCTACTAAATTTGTCGATCCGCCAAAAAAATATTAATAACATTAACCAGCTGAGATAGAAAATCTTAGGGATGTATGTTAGGTTCAACTGAAGATAACTTCTTTTACTGGCTCTAATCGACTGTTGGGTATACTTTGTATCGTTATTTTGGTGAAAAGTTTGGTTCCGAGTATTTGTATTTTTTCTTTCTTTGACAGGGAAGAGTAATTTTTCACGAGAGCAGTGAATTCTGGATTGAATTGCTAGCGACAACTCCAGAAGAACAAAATAAAGCGCAAGTGAAAATATCGTACACGTCCATCAATGATAATCACACTATCTTGCTACAAGTGGTATGTCGAGCGTTTTTCTTTAATTTTTCCTCTTCATTTCTTTACCTAACTACCTATACCTACCATCTACCTTCAAACGTAACCGGCCTAACCTAACCTGCCTAAAATCACTCTATGTACACATCGGCCCCTCCCCACCCCTGTGCAATGTTGACAAAACACTTTCATCTAACTCAAGTTTTTGCATTTTACCATTTTCTAACATTGAAAGGGGGAATGGGGGTGCTGACACTTATTCTGTAGGTATTACGGTTATGATTTCATGTTTTTGGTCTTTTTACAACACAATTTGTTCATGCCTTGTAGCTACCTTCCAACGTACTACTTGCCTTCGTCAACTTAACATGTATACAGGAACGGTCATGCACGTGAACTTAAATTGCTGCCTTCATGACCACCAAATAACGTGCCTCCGTAGCGTAAAACCCTTTCCTTGCTAGACCCAATCATTTTTAAACAATTCTGCTAAAAATGTGTGATTTTCTCTTTTTCTACAGTGCGAGCCCAGTTTACCAGAACGAGCTGACACCAGTGAGAAAGATAAACTGCTCGTTATAATACTCGCCAGTGTGGGATCTTTTGTTGTCCTTGGACTTGTGGTGTCTGCTTTGTGTTACTGTTGCTATTGGAAAAGAAGGCGAAAACCCATCCTTAAAAAAGAAGCTACGAAAGAGTTGGATGAAGGTTGGTGCTTCTTCAAAAACTGCTTGTAGAACTTAAAACTGTTATTGTATTGTTTGCTTGTTTGTTTGTTAGTCAGTTTGTAAACGTAACAGATTTCCTTCAAGGTAAGCCTTGGCAGCAAAATAAATGCTCCTTTTCTCTTAAACGAGCTCGGTAGCCTATATTTTTTATTGCATAATTTTGGTGTACAAATTACCCTCTTTAACTTAAAAAGTTAAGAAAAAATTGTTCAGAACGAAAAAAGATATAGCTAAAAGAGTGAACAAAACCGTTTACGCGAGGATGCGAATTATGACCTTGAAAACAACGATTCGAGGAGCGTTTTGAGTTAATGTCGTTTAGAATTGTGTGATTTTTCCATAAATTGTATATTAAATTGTTCTATGCGCCCGAGACTTTCTACCTGTCAAGATTGTTTTTCAAGTATTCCTTTAATAACCTTTCCTTTCACCTACCGCAAATTGCAACTTGAACTGATGAAATAACGCGCGTGGTTAGGCATAAATGGGTTAAGATTGGCCCATCATATCTCTTACGAGCATGGTGACCTTTTCTTTTTATTGTATTTTTCGAAACAGTGTTTGGTAGGGAACATTCAGGGAAAGTTTGAAAAAATTGTACGGAAACTTTTATTTCTGACGAATCACCTTACAGCATGTTTCTAGGTAAATAAGCCTTAACTAGGCTGACGTTAGTTTAGTCCGCCTTGAAACCAGGCATAGCTAGCCTTCTCCACACCCGCTCTTAATTTCTACGCCTTCATCGCTCTTGTCGTCTCCTGGTAGAGAAGCTTAGTAACAAATGTTGCCAAACTCTGATACTAACGACTAGAACAAGATTTTGATAATGACAAATGGTATGAAATTCCGACACAGAAAAACGTCGCTTAATTCTGGTAATTCTAAGTAATTCTTAACAGCGCAGAGACATGAACAGTTTGAAATTCTGACATTGGCAAAATGTCAGCAAATTCCGACTTGAGGAGACAATGATGTAAATACGCTGGCACCAAAAAAGAGGCCTAAAACTGACAAATGACACGACGGAAATTTTAACACTTATGATGCTCAGTTCTGACAGGGGCGTGCCTATATAGATCGCGTATCTTGAAGACAGCTGAAAAATGACTAAAAGCTGAGGTCAGCTTACCGTCAGGGTTTAAATAATGAATGCAGGGATGGCTTTCAACTCATCAAACCCATGAAGTAGATGAAGCGCCAAACCTGGTAATGCGATATTTTGTACTCACAAGGGATTTTTCTTTGACTTTTCAGAGAATCCATCTCCTGAGAGTCACCGCGCTTCCCACGTTGGTCTAGGACCTGGTACATCTTTGTCAAGTGGTACTCATTTATTGGTTGTGGCCGTGTGCGCATGCGCTCTACACGCTCAATTGCAGACCACCAATGTCGAGATAAATGTTTACTTCCCTGGAGGATTGCTTCGCTCTGACTCCAGAGTATTCCTGAGTTCGGAGAATAATAACGAAGTGAGAGTGATAAGCAACGACACACAACTGAAGATCAATGTTTTTGGTAAGCATGTGTATGACCTGCCATTAGAACCTCGCTTTCAAGAGTATTCCAAATTGTTATAGTCTCGTCGACTCAAAATTCTTGAAAAAAAAAAAAAAAACCCTGCCCTCGTTATGTTACAAGGAATGCAGTGGCGTCCATTTTTAAGTCCAACTCTCTTTTTTCGTTTCTAACTTTTGGCTACAAATTACCTACAATTATCTATTCTTAGTAATAAATAGACGATTGTAACGCGCGACCCGTTACCGGCGCCACGACGCATATCATATCACGATTTAATATAAATCTACTAGCGTTCTATCACCAATGCCGTTCTCTGATTGGCTACGCTACTCACTATCTATTCTGTGATAGATAGTGAGTGGCGTAGCAGTGTGCCCTCGTTAACAAAATGACGGCCGCTTCTTGGCATTTTCGAACTGTCTGTGAAGAGGATTTAGATAAAGTTTTGAACGACTAGTAGATTTATACTAAAACAATTAGATTATTCGCTGTCGATTTCTATCACGCGATAGAAATCTCGAGCTCATAATCTAATTGTTTAACATATCACGAAGTAGCGTATAATAAAACTACCTTGTTCTACATGTAGTTGTTCAAATGTTTCAGATGTTCCCAGTGCTGGGCTCGTGTCCGACAATCTGTGCATTGATAGAAACCTGACATGCGCAAATGGAGCTTGTGACCCTCAGACAGGAAAATGCGTTTGTCCAAGAAAAATGCGAGCCATCAGGCAAGAGGGAGGAGTTACACGATGTGTATATAGTAAGTGGAATATACCGAAACAGTGTCACATCCTGTCCAAGTGTTAGCAATGCAGGGCTCCAAAAAAGTGCGTCCGTTCGTCTGGGACAAGTAGATTTTCCTGCTGGGCAAGTAACTTTTCATTGTTATCTGCTCGATGAGCAAGGGATCAGGCAAGTTGTCTGCCAGCTAAATTAAAAAACAAGTAAACTAAGACTTGCCCAGGGCAAGTAGAATTTGAGAGCTACTTGTCCAAAGGGCAAGCTAGAATTCAAGTTTTTCGAACCCTGCAATGGGGCTCATATCTTGTTACTTTCAAATTCTACACAATTTCTTCGAACGTGTAAAGAATTGAAAATTTAATGTTATGCAAGAGCTGACCTTGTTCTTGATCATTTTTTCAATCTTGTCGCTTGTGGTTCTCATAGTGTTGACATTGTAAGAAGATTTCGTATGTTGACTCAGGCTTAGGTACGAGCCTAAGGTAGGATAGTTTTCATTTGCATCATATATGATGCAAATGAAAACTGTCCTACCTTATGTTGTCGGCCTGTTTGCCTACGAATAGGAATGGCAAAAATCGATATTGAGATTTTCACTGATATTACTGACAAGAGCTAGGTACAGCTTGGAGTTGCTTAATGTTTAACGTTAACTTTGTGTGATAGCGTGTCAGTCTCAGTTTTGGAAGAAACGAGTGTCCGTACACTCGGGTTTTATTAGCCGGCTTAGTTAAAAGGAAATATATGGACTTTTCTAAAACAGCCAAGACAGCAGTACAAGATGTCCGTATTTAGTGGGTGTCCTGTTCTTGTCAAATGTACTTAAACTTAAGGCACTTGTTTCTGTTTTCTAAAGGATGCGATCAAAAATGTCAGAGTGGATTCTTTGAGTTGTCTTCTTGCAACCACACTCATCAAGCAGTCTGTAAAAGTAAGTTTCAAAATTTCTCCTTTGTGTTAATGATCGTGTTAACATTCCGTAGGATGTCTAGTTTTGCGTGGACGCCGAGTTTTGAGTGCACGAGGAGTTTCGTGAGAACCTCAAGTTATGTTACGTACGTCGAGTTTTTTTCGACGTGAAGTTTTGTGTGGACTTGGACTTTTGTGTGGTTGTTGTGTTTTATGTGGTAGGCGGTTTTTGAATTGTTTTGCGTAAACGTCTAAGGCTATTTTTTGTAGTCGTCGAGTTTTGTGTGGACATAGAGTTATTTGTGGTCGTTCTGTTTTGAGTGGAAGGTCGGTATCGTGTGGTAGTGGGTTTTAGTAAGACATATTTTCCCTACTTCTGTGGTCGTCGAGTCTTCCATGGGCGTCCAGGTTTTTTGATGTTTCTACAGCCTTGACTATTCTTTTTTGTTTTGTTTTTGTTTTGTTTTGTTTTTATTGCCATTTGTGTAACTTCAGATAACTGGTAGTCTTTCGTATGGGGGTGGCTTGGGCGACAAGCGCTCTCGTTTGCCGATAGAACGTTTGGAGTAAAATCGTTTCTCCCGCCATGTTGTTCGTTTAATACTGAAGGAAAGTTTCATCTCAGGCTGCTAGTTGATTTGGTTTGGTTTTCCTCTCGACTGAGTAATTTTAATAAATAAAAATACGGTGCCATTTTTATATTTTTACGAATCAATTCAATAATAAGTCATATTCCTTGACATTTTATGGATTGAATATGATATATTTTCTGCTTCTACTTTTAGTGTGTCGTCCTCCGTGTAATTTTAAAGAATTCGAATCAGTACCATGTGTAGGAAAAACAGACCGGAAATGCGCTGGTAACTTCCTTCATTTCGACTTTGATTTCTTTTCCTTTTATTATTATTGTCACTTTCATGTAAACTACGGTTCTTTTCTATGTTCGTCATAGCATTCTATATTACCCGTCCCCTCCCATTTTTTCACAGCTGCGCAAGTGATGTACCAGTAAACTAATTCGGGCCTTGTCCACGCTACGCCGGAGGAATTTGAAAACGCCGTTTTCACTCTGCAAACGCACAAAATGTTTTCCATCCACACCACGCCGAAGAAATTTGAAAAGGCAGCAATAACCAGTCATTTTGAATTTGTGGTTGAGGAAAACTTGGGCAGGAAAATCATATTCGAGATGTCATCGTTTTCGAAAAGCTCCGTTTCAAAATGTTTTCCGTCCACGCTAACACGGAAAGCCGGCGTTTCAAATTCCTTCCGAAGCCGCCTTCGTTTTGAAGAGAGTTTTCGAAAAGCTCCGTTTTCGTGAAGGATTAGTGTGGACGGTAGGCCTAACCGTAGAAATAAAGCTACGTTTTCAAATTCCTCCGGCGTAATGTGGACGCTGCTTTAGGTAGTTGACGGCTATAAAATGGTACTGGACGGTGTAAAAGTTTTCGAGACAAGAAGTGGCAAGTCGGGTAGGGAGGTCTTACCTTTTGCCAGTCTCGGCTTAACATTTTGTTGTTTGTTTTTATTGTAGCCATTTCTAAACTGCCGCAAATTAAAGTTTCCCCCAATATTGTCTACGAAGACATTTTAAAGGTAAGAAGCTTTGTCATTACCCGTTACTCGCTGGTAATTTCAGTACATTAAGGCTAAAGACTAACCCGAGTAATTGCATGTGCCTATATTATATAGAGGACGAGATATAATGCAAGAACCCTTCGGTTGTTATCAGGCTGTTATATTTCGGTATTTGTCTATACCATCTTCAGACTAAACTTACACACACAGAGCTCGCATTTTGAGATTAAAACCCTTTTCTCCTGAATACCGTCTTTGTTTTTGTTTTTCACGAATGTCTTAATTGCTAATTACCACCTTTTAGTATTTAAAATCTGAGCTCTATGTATATAATTTCACTCTGAGGATGGTATAAAATAATTCTTTGCTCCGCAAAGAAATGCTATTAACAGTACTAGTTTTAAATTCCTAATCTGCTCCAACGATCCCAGGTGACGAACTATATCAGTTCTGATTGGTTGCACAATGAATTATTACTGTGTTATAGTGTTTACAATTCTTATTGGGCATGATATTTTCATGGTAATAATGTCGGAATGCAGCCATTTGCTTTATTTGTATCGCGTTAAATCTATCATTTTAATTCCTTTCTCCAGGTTAAAGCTAGCCCACCTGTGAAACAAACTATTTTTAATGTGTCCAGCAATTCCCAAATATGGCTCAACAGATCCAGTGGTCTGGCAATTCAACTTCAAATTCGCCACGTCGACTTCAGCACGACATTTGGGGAGGTCAAACATGACGTCAACGACAACAGCAGGCTTCCAAATGACCCGACGTCACAAGATATTGTAAGAAATTTCTGTGATTCTCCTGTTCCAGACTATTATCGCATAATCTTACAAGAATCCGCGAACGAAGTGCAGATTATTAAGGGAAAACCAGATACCCCATGTCCAAGGTATGATGGCGGATCGTCAACAATACCAGCCCCAGGAAATTTACTTTCATGCAACGGAGCAGAAAATCCTATTGTTAGGCTTTTTGGCGTCAAACATAAACCCGAAGAGTTCTGGAAAGAAGAACGTTCTCGAGCATGCTACAATCTTAAGATGGACTGCAACAAATGTCGCGATGAATGCACAGTTCGTGCTCGAGAGAACCCTATCTGTAATCTTACAAAGGGTAGCGTCAATGCAGATTCCAAGCAGGAGTTCGGGGAACACTTTGAGTATTGCTTTGATTGTTGTTTTGAAGAAAACTGCATTTGTCCGAGCTGTGCGTGTACTCAGTACAATGCTTCATGCATCGGTTCACAGTTGACTTGTGTCGGAACCAAACAGTTTACCATCCCTATCACCCCTATCTTTCCTAAAAGGGGATTGTTCAAGTGTCACGTGAAACTATCTAAAGGTCCTATATTCGAACTCGAGACAGCACTGTGGAAAGATGGAAAGCTATTGAGAAGAACTGAGAAAAATGTTAAGAACTACAGTCAAGAGGCTGTCAGAGGGACAACAGGCTACGATTATGGCTATATGATCCTGAAACATCCCTCTGTAATTAGATACGACAAGAGAAAAATCATCATGATAAGTGGAAAGGCTGGAGAGTCGAACTTTGATGTAGGATGGTACAAAACCGAGCAGGAACTAGAATCCCTGAATCCCGCAAGCGTACTCTCCTTTCAGCCAACAGAGCCGTTCAAAACCAACACCAACACTTGGTCAAAGGAAGATTGTCAAACTTTGGACGCTGAAAAATTTGCAATAATCTCATCCAGTACGTCGATAAACAACGTTGAACCTTTCACACAGCTTACTGCAAAGATAACCCATGAGCAGAACACTCGGTTGTATAAAGTGTACAACAAGTCCGATCCGCAGAAGGTCAGTTTTGAGGTACCACCGGAACGCTCAGTCCTACGACACACATTTCCAGAAACAGTTATATTCAACGATAGATCGTTTACTGGCAAGCTGTTTAAGAACAGGACTTTCTGGACCATCCGCTTAACTGGTCAAGCTAGTTCGTGCCCAGGCTTTTTCGTGGTGCGGTTGACGGATCAAGATCGCCCCGACGTGGAGGTGTATCATTATGACATTGGTGAGTTGGTCTATGCTCTTCCCACCCCCGCGCTTTACAACCAGAAGGTACATCTCATTAGAAAGTTTAGTGCGTCATATCGCTGTAGACTACGAGTAGTCCCTCTTTCGATTAGTCCGTCGTACGTGACGCGAAAGAAAACCGCGAGACAAAAATGGCCGCGCGAAATCCTGCCGGCGAGGAGCGCGCACTCCTCGCCCCCAGGATTTCGCGCGGTCATTTTTTTGTCGCGTTTTTCTTTCGCGTCAAGCACGACGGACTAATCGAAAGAGGGACTACTCGTAGTCTATATCGCTGTGTAGCCGTTTTCGAGCCTCTCAGTATTTTGGCGGCTGTTGCTTGAACATGCAGCATGTTTCATTCGCGTTTTACGTATTCAAAATCTAAGGGACCAGAAAACTGAGTTTCTTCTTAGGAGAGGTTAGGCTCGATTACCAGCCGCTGTTTCGGGAAATGAGCCCACGCTCACCCTTCCCCCTCCCCTTATCTCCGGGGAGTGGGGGAGTAGGAACTTGGCCAGACCCCAGAGAGCGGCGGAAATCGGACCTAAAGAGAGGTGATCGCAAAGGAAGTTACAAAAGTAGTTTTGAACGTGGCTGCTACCGTGACTTAGTTAGTTAGTCAGTCGGTCAGTCAGTCAGTCAGTCAGTGAGTCAGTCAGTCAGTCAGTCAATGTTCACTTACGTGGTGTGTCCGTCAGCGCTTCTACTGTAAAAGAGGCTTTTATTCATATACTCCAGATATGAGTATTTATTTTAATACATGTATTTCTCCACAGCAATAATCAACGAAGACTGCTCGTTTAGAGTAGAGTTCCATCTTCCGTCGGGTGGAGACACAAACATGATCGACAAACAGTTTGTTGCTCGCCTTACGGACTCACGCAAAACGATCAAGCTCATTCTTGTGAGCTCAAGACGAATACCTGAATTCGAAATACCTGACATTGACGAAGATTTCGATCTGAAAAAACTTGAAGTTTTGATTCCTTTTGGCGGCGCAGCAGGAGGAATGCTCATTGTGCTAATAGTAATCTTGATCTACGGCTACAAAACACGACCAAAAGACAGTTATCACCGCGACCGAGATAATGACTTGCATTTTCGACATATCTTGTTTGTTGTCTGGTTCGTCGGCATGAGACTGGTGAAGAGTTTTCTCTTAACACTGACTGTTCTGTTTGTAATACTCACCGCTATTCACTACACGAACGTGAAGACGTTAGAAAAATACGAGTCATTCCATGAACAGCGAAAACAATTGGAGGATAACTTTATGCAGCAGATGGACACGCACAAGGCGCAGGAAATAAATCGACAGTGGTCGCTACTGGGAGAAGGAAAGACTGTCTGTGGCCAGAAGTTAAAAGAGCTCAACGCGTTTTTGGAGAGTCATTTCAAAAGCATGCTAGAAAAACAACTGGAGGAAATGAAGCGGAAAAATATAATTCTTGCCGCTGAGAAGCGTATTAAAAAGCAGTTTAGTGCGACGAAAGCGAAGTTCGAAAGAGAGAGAAAGCGGCTGAACGAACAAATGGAAGCTTACAGCAATGAAATCAATTCCAGGATTTCCCAAATTCAGAGAAAAATAGAGGGCAGCTTTTGGCTGCAAGCTGCCAAGGGGATGTACAATTTTTTGGACGGCCTTGCAAAAGTTTTTGGAAGTGGCATTGGAAAGCCGTTTATACGGTGGGTTGGGCTGTCAGTGAGTTTTCCCAGCATTGACGTAAATCTTCCCTCGTTCGATGACATTTTCAGTGATTTTAGCAGCGGCAATTTGCTAATTCCTCAGACAGGCTTACTGGACACGAACTTTTCCTTATGGCAAGGAGATTTTCAGACAGACATAAAAATAAACATCAATCAAATTTCGGTTCCAGACTTGAACATATCTCGTACGCTAAATAAAGGCAGAGCCCAAGAATTGCTGGCTTTGGAATGGATCGTGCAGTTGTACAGAACCGGCGTGGTTACCACAATTTTGATCATTTTGGATTTTTTGTGGTTTGTTTATCGACATAGCAGGACGTACCAGTTAGCCGTTGTGCTCATTCACGGCTTTCCGAAAGTTTACAAACTGGAAAAGATACAGAAAAAGGAGGAAGAGAAAGAAGAAAGGAAAAGGAAAAAAGAAGAGAAAAAAGCAAGGAGGAAGAAAGAAAAAGATAAAAAACTCGAACTTGTCCAAGACGAACATTTGGAGAACTACGAGGGTACAGAGATGAAATCTATGGAACGTACGAAACAGATTAGTGGACTTAAAGAGAATACAAAGTCCAGTGCAAAAGCCACACCTTTGAGTGAAGCAGACATGCCCATAGGCAAGAATGCCCCCAACAATTCAGTTGAGTCTGAGAAAATAATTAGAGAGAATCAGGATATCGAGAGAGTCGATGCCCCAGATGAAGAAACCAAACCAGACGAATCCAGAACCCGCAAAGTGATTGGCCATAGCTTAAAGGGACTCGACAGACTAAATGCAGTATTTCTCAAGTTTCTGATCAAGATCAAGGAAGTTAATTACCAGGTATCCGAGCTTTTGTTTCTTATTTATAATTTGTAATAACTACTTCTAGAAAAATTGAGTAGACGGTCTTCATAGGCGTATCAAGGTGATGTCAGATGACAGTCCAAATTGGTCAAGCTGTAATTGCAGATCTGGGAATACTCAAGAAGAAGGGGGTAGGGGAGGGGCAAAGTGGGGATAAGACTTAACCCAGTCAAAACAATTGTTCCTGAAAACGGGGAAGCAAATAACCCCCAACCCCGCCCCTCTTGGATTCATTGTCCCCTTGGATTCATTCTTGCCCTCAAAATCCCCTGAACGCGTCAAATAGATGCGCACGGTTTCTAAAGAACGAGCAGTAGACCATGCTTACCCTCGGCTCGCCTGGTATTCTTCTTAAAAAAAGAGCCAAGAATCACTCCGTTCAGTCCATTCTTCTCTCGAGTGCCATGGTCGAATGAACTCTTTGAAATGCTAATCTGTTTCTAGTTGTTATTTCTAGGAGATCTGCCACTTTTATTTTGTATTGTGTGACCTTTGGAGTCACTGAACAATCCTTTCACATGCTAGCACTTGCAAAATTAGTATGAAACCTTTTCAGTTTAGCTTTCGTTGTTTCGATAAGGTAAAGAATCATCCGCCCGTCGTTGTTGATATTTTTCCTTGAAAAGGAAGGGATTTTTAACCCAGACATGTTTTGACGTAGTCTCCTTCGTTGGAAGAGCGTTGTCGCGGACGCTTCTCCCCGTGAAGACACTAATAACGGTTGCGAAGGAGACTGGTCATAACGCAGTACATACAAACTTCTTTTATCAGTCATATCGATCAAAACCTGTTGTAATTCTTTTTTTTTTTTCTTATCGCAGATCAACAATACAAACTTGGTTCCCATGTGCGTTCTGTCGGTGATTGGCATTCTGTCCGTATATGTCGTCATAGTAACCGCTAAACACTCATTGAACGTGGAAACGTTGGATGTAGTTGGATATTTCGATCTCAAGATGGCGCCACTGCTGACCATGAGGAAGATTGTCAACACAAGAATAACATCGAACGCGTTTTTGGTGAACGATGTTCATATTCCTTACTACGAAAACAGGTGTTGTATAATGACTCAAATTATTCTAGCATTTTTGTCATTTCTCTCGGATGATAAATTGTCGTAAGCATAATTTGTTGGTTCTTTATTAGATAGATTCCATGTTGCTGTGCGTCTGTTTAGTAATAGATCACAGAAAACGTCAAAATGTGGTAAGAACATCAGTGACACATTCGGCTATCGCCTCGTGTGCCACTGTTTTTGTTCTTACCACATTTTCACGTCACCTGGGAACAGACGCACGGCAACATGAAATATATTTGTTGAACTGATTAAATAACTGATTGTCGTTGATTAATGTCAGCGAGGAACACTGTCGTAATCTTGTTTGAATGAGACTGGAGCCTAAATGAACCGTTAGGTTTTCGAGTTAGCGTCCAGCCTAGTTATCTAATCGTAGGACAGGAGCGAGCGCACTATGGAACAGACATAATCATATGAACCAAATTTAAACCTTTTTCTACGACAAGTAGATGAAAAAAGTCTCTTAACCCTTTCACTCCCTTGAGGAAAAACATATATTTTGTAAAACGGTATCTATGGACCCAAGAACCACACATAGTATACCGTTTGAAATATATTATTTGTAGGATACCATACATCATACTAACAGCCATGGAGGAAGCCTCAGTTTGAATTGAAAAGCATTAAAAATGGAAAAAAGCAAAACGTTAAAAAATATCTCACTCCTTGTATACAGTAGTTGAGGTACACCCCTAAATTATAGCTTAATGTGCAGCTGTTAATGTGTGGGTTCAGTATTGTCAGATATTAACTTAACCTTAAAAGTCTAAGAGGAAAAACATGCACAATTTGTAGGGGTGGTTATTCAAGTCTCATATAGGAGGGGGTATGATTTTATGCTTTCAAACGACAGATCCGTCCAAGACCTTTTTACAGTTCAAATTTGATAAAAATTGGACACATATTGAGCATGTAATGGTATTTTGTGCCACATGGCACTCTTGGGAGTGAGAGGGTTAACGGGTTCATTCTGACTTTTTCGTTTCCAGAGTAAATTCCAGGATAGCGTTTTACAGGAAGAAAGCTAAAATGTACCAGGCATATCAATGCGCAAAAGCTGATCTGTATAACGAAGAGTACTGCTCGTGGGTCGAGGAGCCTGGGACGAGCTGCGAAGGAGTGGGTTCTTATAACCAGGACTTCCTCAGCAACCTGACGCAGTTTGAATGTAACTTAGAACCAATCATACCTCAACGGTGAGTGCTGGATAATGCGCTTCAAAATCTATTCTTTATTTTGATTGGTAGGGGTTGCAGAATTTATCGGATATAAAATACCATGCAATTAGAAATGGTAATTTTTCTCGGACTATTTTGTCCAAGGGGGAAAGGCGCAATGAGGTTAACCCTATGTAAAGCGCCAACCTGTGAGACAAGGCCAGACCACAACACCTCGAACTCCGTGTCCCACTATTTGCGATAAAAGTGTGGGTTCTTTAACGTCCCCTGCTAACCATGTAACACTGAAAATGAAGGAGACGGAACACGGTTTATAGTCCTTATCCGAGAAGACATGAAAGTCTAACCATTTGCAGATGTAATTATAAAGGCAACACATTCTCCTCGGTTATTTTAAGACCCTGAGGGTTGGTTCGGTCTGGGGCTCAAACCCTCGACCTCCCGCACAGCAGTCTAGAACTCTACCAACTGAGCTAACCTGGCGGCGATAAATTCCCACCCACCCGGCGGGTCAGGCGAAATAAAGTGTCGCCTGACCCATAGGGTAAAACTCAGTTCAAATAACTGAGAAAACATTTACATGGACATGTTTGCCAAGGAGTGATTCCCTCCAAAACTCAGCGGCTAGGGAGACCAACTGGTATCTGGGAGGTCGTGAGTGCGAATCCTTTCTCCTCAAGATTCTTTGGTTTTCTCACGCTCGCTACATGTTGAACATTTCATTTTGCGCAGAAAAATTAATTGTTGATGTTATTTCCTTTTCTCTTTTAGATTCACTAAATTTGATCGCTTTCGCTACAAAGACGTCCACAAAAAGGCAATTGCTCCCTACGTGGCTGCTCTTCGAGGCCTCATTCTCAACACATTCTACATGTTGTTGATCGCAATTGGAATTTTCATCATTTTTCGAATCTTGGGAATTGCAGTGTTCGTGCTTCTTAAGAAATTCGACCTCGTGCGTCAAGTTAAGCACTATCAAACCAACCAAGATCTCAAGAAAGAGTTAACCCTGCCCCACTGTATCAAGTATCCTTCCAATGAAAGCATTATAAGACGCGTTGGACCTCTTCAAATGTCCGAGGACATGAAAGAGACATTTGGTCCCAGCATCCATGAAGGAAAAAGTCTACAGTGGGTCAAGTAATTAAGGAGACGATAAATGGTACAGATATCACATCTCGTGTACGAAGGATATCCCATCGGTTTTCCATTGACTGTTGTGAAGCCAACACTAAAGTAATCCTATGTCAGCTCTTCACAATTCAACGCGCTTAAACTGCGCACCGATAAACGAACAGATCGCAGGAAAAACGTGGACCAATCGCCAAGCGCGGAAAAGCTGAGCAACTAAAATCTCTTTTGTTGTCATGATTGAACAAGAAAGCAGTTGCAACGCGATATTTTCGCTAGCTGGTCAAGTTTCCATTTTGATGAAGTAAGAGAGCTAAGCAAACACAAAAGAAATCAATCGGGTGTCGAGTGAAATCGCGAATTTCCTTATTTTTGCTACTTCGCTCTGTGATTGGTTAAAAACCTCGTCACCAACTCGATCAAACAATCAGGTGCAAAACCAAAACCAATCACGTCTCGGTCGCACGCATTGATTTTTCCGCGCTTGGCGATGGTTACGTGCATCTGTTGTGATTTTCATTGGTTGGTTGTGTTGTTTACGTTTGATTGGCAATTGTGGTTGCTTTGGTAATTTATGACACTCTATTGAAAACCGCCCTACTGGTGCATGCAGTCAAAACTGCAGTATCTGTAATTCTGTAATATTGCTTTGTCTAACTTTGCGGCCACGCTCAAAGTTGACAACATTTGCAATTCTACAATATTATTTTAAAAACACATATATGGAACATGTTTTCCATGTTTCCTAAGAGTTGTTCGTGCCGGTATAGGTTATGTATATAATACATTGGATTTGTTACCAAGTGTCGTTCATATATTTTCCGGTTGCTTACTTCTTGTAATATTTAATAGGGATATTCTTGAGATTATTACATCGACACGAGCTTTTTAAGGGAAAATATTTTAATATTGTTTTTACCACCCGAAAATAAGTTATATCTTCTCGTCGCCGTGCAATTTCCTCCATTTACAAATAGTTAAGAATCGCCTAACTTAATTATCCCCATTGTAGTAGTAAAGGTATCGTAAGAGTAGAGTATCGTATTGTAAGTATTAAGTATTGCATTGTAAGTAGTTTTTTTCTTTGTTGTACTAGATAAAACAAGGAAAATATCGCGTAACTTTTAATAAAAGCAGAATTATTTTTTACCATTCAAACTACGCAGTAAGATACACCGAAGGCACTAGTTTCCTGTGTGCGTTGCTGACGTCAGCATCAAGTACACAGGCTGAAAGGAGCATTTTTAGTCTCGTTCTGACCCACCATAGCTAATTATTTCCTTCCACGTAAGGGAATTAATAACAAAGGTCTTAGCAAACGTGATACAACGTTTATTAATTGAAAAGGAGAAATGGACTGCAAGCAGTGTTAGTTATCTTTTTGCGCGTTTTTGGGTTTGCTCCCCGCGGCGATCGGCTTAAAGGACAAATTACACAAAAAGAAAATTGACATTAACGCATTGTAGCGGTTTTAAAACTTAATGAATACACTGAAACCGCCAACCGCTCGATCCCCCTTATCAATACTCCTACCCCCTTTCATCCCTTAACCTTGATATTTGTCATAGGGTTTCTGAAGGGTACCGGCGATGCCTAAGTGGAATACACCCATTTCTTTTCGACGATGTCTGGTAGTAGATAGGGTTCACAAGATGTTTTGCTCAACGTGTTGGGTCTTTTGCCGTACTGACCACGTTAGTAAAGCGATTGATTGATTGATTGATTGATTGATTGATTGATTGATTGAATGATTGATTGACTGATTGATTGGCAAATGAAAAAAAAAAAAGAATTGAATTCGATACTTTTGGAAACTTTACGGCATCAGGAGTATGCACTTTTAGCACTTATAGGACTTATGAGTAAATCTAGTTTTTCATTCAGTGTACTGTATGTTTACATTCACAGAGATATGGTAAGCCGTATGCTATCGCTTGCTAAACAAACGTTTTAATGAGCAGTACAATAGCTGTACACGTGCGTTATAATTCTTGGTATATTTCTTTGCCGTCTTCTGCAAAACAACAACGTGAAATGATTAAGTTCTGCGTTGTCTAGAGTACGTGAAGCACCTGAACAACTACGCCTAATTTTCAACTTGCTATTTCGAGTTTAACGCTGCAAACCACGACGGCAACGGCAGCGAGAACGTCACCAAACAAAAATTTTAATAAGCAAAACAATAGATGTTCAGGTGCGTTATAAATCTTTGTGCATTTCGCATGTCGTCCTCTGCAAACAACGGCGTTAAATGACCAGGTTCTCCGTATTTTGTTTAAGGGAAACATCATTTTAAACTTAGCCTAGGCCTGAACAAGTTTTTATTTCGGTAGGTACACGGAACAGATCTGATAAAATTTATTAGCTGTTTAAATATAGATATCGTCCTGCAACTTAACTGTCCCTTTCTGGTACGCTTTGGTGGCAATCAGGTGAGTTTCGTTTGTATTTTGGCGATACAAAATACTCACCCATGGCGAGGCCAAACGAGCCAGATACGTCGCCGAAGCGTACCAATACACTTAATGTTAATACGCTTTGGTAGCATCTCTTGCTCGTTTGGTCTCGCCATGGGTATTTTTGCAGCTCAAAAGCAACGTAAAAACAACAACGCTTTAAAGACGCTTTGAAGCCACTCAAAAGCAGTTCAAACGCAGCTCAAATGTAGCTGAAAAGCCCATTCAAAGTCTTAAAAAGTCGCTTAAAGCCCCTTCAGGGTGGCTGAAAAAGCACCTAAAAAGCTGCTTAAAGCCCCTTCAGAGTAGCTGAAAAAGCACCTCAAATGCCGCTTAAAAGCCCCTTCAGAGTGGCCGAAAAAGCACCTCAAAAGCCGCTTAAAAGTCTCTTCGGGGTGGCAGAAAAGGCACCTCAATAGCCGCTTAAAGCCCCTTCATAGTGGCTGAAAAAGACCTCAAAAGCCGCTTAAAATTCCCTTAAAAGCTGCTTAAAAGCACCCCAAAAGTACCTCAAAAGCCGCCTAAAAAGCAGCCCAAAAAAGCAGCTTAAAAAGCAGCTCAAAAGCAGTTCAAAAGCAGCCTACAGAGCCGTTCAAAAGCAGTTCAAAAGCAGTTCAAAAGCAGCCTAAAAGAAGCTCAAAAGCAGTTCGAAAACAGCCCTAAAGCAGTTCAAAAGCAGCTTAAAAGCAACTCAAACGCAGCTCAAAAGCAACTTAAAAAGCAGCTCAAACGCAGCTAAGAACAACTCAAAAGCAGTTCAAAAGCAGCTCAAAACCCGCTTAAAAAGTAGCTTAAAAGCAGCTTTGAAAGCAGTTCAAAAGCTGTTCTAACGCAACTCGAAGACAGCTCAAAAGCAGTTCAAAAGCAGCCTAAAACGCGGCTCAAAAGTAGTTCAAAAGCCGCTTAAAATAAAGAGCAGCTCAAAAGCAGCTCTAAAGCTTACGATTCAAAAGCAGCCCAACGCGCCAAACCGATAAGTAGGTGGTATTCACCGTACCCAAATTGTGCCAGGATACATCGGACTCATCAGGTCTCAGTGACTTGATAATCCAGGACAGCATAGATGCAGCGTCTGATTGGCTAATTGGCAATCTGGGTACGGTAAGAAACAAAGCAGGTACATACTTAGCTCTTATTAACCGAGCAGGAGGTCTGTATGGGAGAATCTTGACCGAGGTCGTGAGTACAGACCGAACGCAGTGAAGTCAAGATTCTCCCATACAGACCGACTAAGCTCGGTTAATAAGACGTTTATTATATGGCGCAAACAAGAATAATTTAATTCGTTTAAATGTAACTGGTTTGTACTAACTGTTATTTTTTGCTTGCGAACGGCGATGAGCTGAATTTAATTCTGCTAAAGTTTGTTCGTCCTCTTTACGTTTTTTCTTTTTTTTTTCTCATCAGGCTTTTTGGCACTTCCATAAATAAATATTGTTAGATGAAAACAGTCAATGACTTTGCATTTTAGTTTGCAACTTTCTTACGGCAAAACATTACCTATCTAGATGCCGGTCTAGATGGGAAAATCTAGATCGCTTTCAATATCGATTTCAGCCAATCAAATTCGTGAATTCGGTAGTTCCCAGTCCTTGTGAGACAGAGCTATATAATAAAACATGATATCACTGGTATATTTCAGTTACGTTTATTTATCTTAAGTTACATAGGATCTAAACTTGGGATTCTTATTTAGCAAACCTTGGGAAACCCATGTCTAGGGAGCATTTGCATCCGAGAAAAAAGGGCAAAATTTGTATTCCGGCGATCCCTACAAGATGCTTAATTAATGGTATCTACAGTTTACACTTGGTTGTGCAATGGTAAAAAGTTCATTGGCTATATATAAAATATACAGAAGAATCTATACAAAACAAGTATGTACACGAATAGGTCATTTTACAAACAAAAACGTTTTTTTCATTACAAAGTACCAACCCCAGAAAGGTTGTTATTCTAAACTGCTTTATGAAGGCTTTCTTAAATTGTGATAGTTGGTTTGAATATTACAGTGTTCGACCTCCTCAGTACTGCATTTTATGCAAACGCTGTGAAATAATTAAACAAAAAGAGTAGGCTTAAGTACCCTCGATTAGAAAAGTTACACTTTCTCTGTCGAGGACACATAGAAACCTCGACGGGAGACGTTTTTACAGTATCCACGATTCGTTGCTATCGATACATTCTTGTTCCTGAACCCCAACTCGAGTTAGGGGAGTGAGTTGGAAATTAAGGTTACTTATTTCCCTTCTCCCACCCCGCTCCACTTTCATCTGCCTCCTCTATCTCTTTTCCCGTCTTTTTACAATAAACGGCTAACGAAGTGGTTTTACTCTTCCGCCAAGATTGATTAATATGCTTCAGAAATTGATTAGAAGAAAGTGGGGGTCTCTTGATACTAAGCCAACTTAGTGTAATTTAAAAGCAGCATCTGACTGTGATCGCTTTCTATTTAATACCTTCTTAACTGCTTCTTTCTTAAGTTTCGGCTTATTTTGATCCATACTTCTAGAACAGGTAACTACAGGCCGTGGGTTGTCATGAAACTTTCAAAGTAGTTCAATCTAAAAAAAAAAGGCAGTATTTATATCATAAAAGCGACAAACGAACTTCCCTCTACTGTATAATTACCCAGTGCATTGTTCCTGTACGAAGTCTGTTTAACTTGATTCTCTTATGACGTGTTCACATTTTCTTTAGACTCCGTGACGAAAATATTAGGAATTTTCAATTTCTTAGCTCCGTTGTCTTTCTTAGCCGTGCTGCCGCCATCTTGCTCGTCATCAAATTCCGGAGATTTCAAATGAAACTGTTCCATAACTTCTGGAGGTAGTGTCTTGTATACGTGTATCTTCTTGACGCGAACCATTCCTCTTGACTTAAGGAAGAGAAACACAACGTAACTCAAAACTGAAATTATTACCACCGACAATACCACCGCCAGAACAAAATAAATTGTCTCCAAGAGCATGTTGCGAACTGCATCGACAAACCGTTTGGATTCACGCTTGAGTCGTTGACGGTACGCTTCACCGTCATAACCTTCGTAGTGCCTTCCTTCCAACTTTGGAATGATACAAGAGGGTTGATTAAATTCCAAGAGCGACGCCTCTTCCCAGAAGCATTTATTTGTGTCCTTCTCTAGAGAGCAGAGTTGTTGGTTTAGTCGTTCCATACGCTCTTGCTGTTCTCTGTTGAAGTCCTGGATCATTCTCCTGTTTTCAGATATGGTATCATTGACCGATTCCTTGTACTGCTGCATTGCATTGTTGTTGATAAAATCGACCTGGTCATCGATAGCGAGGTTGGTAAAGTGGTAGTCGGTGTCAAGGCGAAACGAGATCATTTCGTAGCCTCCCAGTTCTTCAATAACGGTCACGTTCATGACATTGTAAACTAAAGCAATCACTAGATAGAGAATAGCAGCAGAGGCAGCAATTGTAATGCACATTGGCAGAAGATTTGTACGCATGATCCGCTTGTGAAGGCTCTTGCAAAAAGCGATGAATTTCGAGAACTTCTCGGCAAGAAAATCTAAGATCCTTCGGACAAGTTTAGCAGCTTTTTCCTTTACAGTTGGTGGTTTCTTTTCAAACTCGTCTTCATCGTGATTCACAGTCTCTTCGAACCCTTGGATTAATTTGAAAGCGATTTGGTAAGTCTTCGATCCTCGATATATCAAAAGCAGGATATCCATGACAACCAATACGCCCAAAATGGCTTTCTTGGTGACAATGAACACTTCGGCATCGTACACGCTGCTGAGATTTTTAGTCTGTCCTTCCCTTTCGAGTAATTGCTCCTTCTGGTCATCGACCGTTTCTTCCGTAATATCTCCTTTTTCAATGTTATAGTACGATCCACCGTGAGCGGACTCGATAATGGAAGACCTGTTGGCATTAGAAATGTTTGAAATTCCATCTAAGTCATCATTATCTTCGTAGACAACGCGCTCAGAGAAGATTTCGGAATCTGTTTTGTTGTCGACGGAGTCTAATTGAGAGTTATTGGAAGCAAAGAAATCACTGATATTCCCCACAAAGCAATTGGCGTTAGCTGCTTCCCACTCTATGGACACTTCTTGCAACTTTCGGATCCCAGATTTCACTTGTTCCTTTGCAGACTTAATCATGTACCTCAATGGACACATAAGTATCGTGCTCAAAGGATGTTCAGGCGACCTTCCGGTTCTGAGAACCTCACTAAAATCCGCCAAGCCATTTTTTGCATATTGAAGCTTAGAAACAATGTTATTCCTTGCTTCGTCAAGTTTGTCTTTATCGAGAGCGCCAACAAAGTCAAGAAAGCCAATGAAGGAATTGTCGGAGAAGCTTCGTTTTCTTCTAGTAGCAAACTCACTTTGGCTTTCCCATGTGAGCTTCATTGCTGCCTGGTCCTCGTGGCGATCATGATTTCGTAGATACCTGTCACTCGCAGAGATCTCTCTCTTTTTCCGTGATGCTGCTTCGTTTATTTCATAAGCAGCTCTTGGTAGAGCAAACCACCCATTGTCAAACACTCTCTTTCCATAGTTTTTCAAGCCATCTTCGGTTTCCTGCAAGTTTCGTGTAGTGGCCGCTCGGAATTCTTTTATTCGCTCGTCAATGTCTTTCTTTAATTTCTCTACTTTCTCGGTTACTTTGGTGATAATTTTTTTGCTCAGCTTATTAAACATTTTCAAATGATTTTCCTGGATTAAGCAAGTCATGTTGAGCCTCATCCACTGTAGCTGTTGTCCCATGAAGTAATCACAAGACCTTTGAATGTCTTCGCTAGAGTCCAGAACACGCTTGTTTTCACTTTCACGATGCTGATCCATTCCTAAAGCCATGGCGTTGCTTTCGTCAATTTTGCTTTGTACAAAGTCTTGGTATTCCTGGATAATTTTCATGTTATCAGCGTGAAGAAGGGTCAGAATTGCAAACGCCATTGAGAACGTAAAGGTCACACAGTAGACAACTCTTGCAACGACGAAAAAAATGACTAGGATAAGGTGCCTTCGTTTGAGTCTGTTTTGATCTTTGGGTGTCCCCTTCTTTTTCCTATCTCCATCTTTGTTTGTTGTTACTTCCTTGTTCTTGACATATTTCCACCCAAAAGGGCCATCTTTTGGAGCATCATTGGGTTTGTGGGTAACTTGTGCATATACTATTAACGCGAACAAAACTAGTAGCACACAGCCTGTGACTACAAAGAGTGGCATCAGAGTTACCCATGGATTAGGTCTATCGTCTTGGCTTTTCTTTTCTGGTTCCTTCAATTTCCTTCCGCCTTTGTCGACGACAGCCATCTGAAGTTGCAGTTTCTGTTTAGCATTAGATAAACGCACACTAAATAACCTCTCCTTGTCCTGCAATCCCTTTCTTGGAACATGAATATCCAAGTCAAAACTGGTTTCGGGGCAAAGAATCACCACATCCTGCTCAAGGACTAGAACACTGTCAACTTCATCGATGACTTCAAGAGTGAAGAAAGCAGGACAGCTCGTCAATAATCCATTTACCTTGATATTCCAAGAAGTGCTGGTTCGTGACAAACTGCTTTTAAATGTCTCGTCATTGCGTATGCTCGCATTTGTCAAGACATACTTCAAGATCGATTCTTCTTCGGAAATGCTTATAGTAATCGTAGGTGTGCGCTGGGAATCTTGTACGTGATATGCAAACTCGCCTCCTGATTGAACGCCAAGATGTTCTACATTCACAGGCCTTAGATCAAGAAAGGGTTTCCGAATGCTGCTTGACCAATCAGAAAGTCTCTGACAGTTAACACTGTCGCTCCAAGATCTGGTGGTTATTGAAAATGGTGTCTTTGTTTGCACCTCAATTGTGTTATTCGAGTTGGCATTTCCTAATGTTGAGTTTGCGTCCTCAAGGTTTGATACACTGTACTTATACGGCCCCTTTTCAGATGATCTCTGGCCTCGAAGATACAGCAGAGAGGAAATATCGAAATTTGCAGAGTGGGATACTTCTAAAGAGTCTACGCGATTTGTTCCTCGTTGTATCATCGAATATGGATGATCACCTGCTGTCGGAGTCTTTAAAGTTCTGGAGATCCAGTCCGAGCTGAAACGTCCACTATGGTGCTTTACTTTGTACCTCAGTGTATACAATGTCTTGGGAACCTTATATTCAAGATAGCAGTTGAACTGCAGGTTCAAGTTGCTTGGTTTGTTCATTACCAAAGTAAACTGGCTGGTGTCCCCTTTGGCGCACCTCTTTGGTATTTGTGTACAGTTTGGCTCACTGTAGAAATAAGAGCAGAGGTCCAAACAGTCTTTATAACAGCAGGAACATGAACTATATGCCTTGCTATCAGATTGATCACAACGGGGACAATTATCTCTGCATATTCTGCAAATTTGATACGCCTCTGCGCAAAATGGAGTTGGAAAGGACTGTAACGGGCTATCAAAGAAGGCACCTTCCTTTATACCAAATGCGTCAGTCACAATATTTGTGTAGTTTGTGCAATAAAGTTTGCTTGAGTCTTCTTTGAGGATGCAGTCAGTCTGGTCAGGCTTAGAGCAGATGACGGACGTCTCTTCCGTGTCGCAAGCGTCGTTCAAAGATCTATAGTGGTACATTTCGCCTGGTGTTACGCCAGTTGGGCAAAGTTGTCTTGAGTGCTGAAAACACTTGGCTGGGTACACTTTCGTCTGCCGATCACGTTTTAAGTCATGTTTAATGGTGTAGTGGTTTGGGGCTGGGTACCGACAGTGCTGACTAAACACCTCTGGAAAGCCAGGCAAACTAGCAAATTCAAGATTTTCGCCGTTTGACCGCCACGCATCATAATCGCTATATTTTGGAACCAAGTTAACTTGCTCAATTTCCACGTCTACATAAAAGCTCGAGTTTCGATACAAACGCGCACGGTTTGGCAAATCTGCTTTCAGGAAGAATGTTTTACTTGTACTGTTTAACCGAAGGCGGTCCTCAAGGAGAACCAAGTCTTGTGCTGGTTTTTGGAAAATGACCTTTGAACCTGTTCGCACTGATGAAAGGTAAAAAAAAAAGACCTAATTAGCGACTGAAGTGAGAGTACAATTTCTAATAACAATGTATCATCAAATGGGGGATAGAACTGTTTAGAGGGAGCTTTTGTATTGGAATATTATCTGAAAATGAAAACTGGCCCAACCATGGCGTGGGTCTACCGGAGCTGCGACAGCAACGAGCTGTAGTGATTTTGGAGGACAATCCCGACGGGATTTATATGCAGAGGCTCAACGCAAGGTCCGATTAAACTCCTACATGTTTTTTTTGTATATCATTTTAACAGAAAAGGAAACCGATCATATAATATAACTCCTGTATAAAATGATACCTCTTTCACATTCCTACAATGAAAACACTGCATCTCTTTTCCTTGAAATTAACGCACTTAGTGAACAACATCCCCAAAGAACACTAAACGCTTCAAGCAGAGATGTTTGGTTTTGGTTTGACAAATTTGTCAGAAATTGAAAGACGTTTTTCTATACTTGACAACTCTTGAAAACTCTACCCACTTATATACCTCCAGGTTGACAATGGTGGACAGGATCTTCCCGCACAATTCATTATGGTGCCCCCCCCCCCCTAACCACACTCCTTAACGACAATATCTCCGGCCGAAGGAGTTGCATTCAGTTATTCCAGTAGACGGCAATCAATTTCAGTGTTCCTTTCATATCTGCTGGGGTTATGATAGAGCCACTATCAATTTTATACTTTAGGTTTCTTACCGTCAAGAAGGTCTTTATCACTCAAAGCCTTGCTTACTGTTAAAGGCTTCGAAATATCTGCAATGAAAATTATTCCAACGAACAGTTTAGTGAAGTATCATATGACAGGTTTTATACATCTCAAGTGGGCACACCTTGTCCTACACACAATACCAGGCCCGCGGTAAGTAGGCAAGTAATAAATGAGCATTTAAACTAAATGAAAAGCTCGGATCGAGTCGATAAGTTGCCACAAATGAGTCTAACAACAGTCCCAATTCGATGCAAAAAACATGAACTTAGTAGCAAGATCTGAATTGTGAGCCGTGGCAAAAGAGCATGAGGCTGGAATGGCATTATCATGATTGACCAAAATATGCACAATCTCGTGGTCGGCCAAGTTGCACGAGCTTACAGCAAGTTATGTTACTCAGGTTCTTTGAATACGGAATATAACAGCAATTCAACAAACTAACGTCAGTTTTTTAAGCGTCTGTCCTCTTACTGATGATAAATTGCGTCATAACATTGTCAAAGTGGCTGTGGAACCACGAGCCGCAGACTCGTACTTCAAAATGACACGAGCATTGTCAATAACTTTTCTCGCTTTTTGAATGGCTACTTGAAAAAGTCCATAAAAGCTCATTGGTTAAGAAGTTGACAGTTTGACAGCTGAAAGTTGAACTTGAAAGCTTGCATGAATTAACATGTTATCTGTCTGTACTCTTATTGATGATAAGAATGAGCCAACAAGCGCGCGAGAAATTAGACAGTTATTGCAAAATATACACTGCCATGAATCATAAACCTTTATATGAAAGAACGATCTTATAGTAAAAAATCGGTGCATATAATGAAAATGAAAGAAAAGAGTTTCCTACCGAAACATTTTCGGTCAAAAGTTAATCCACAACCATAAGCTTGGTATGTCGCCTTGTCGCATTTAGGGCTGCATGCTGTAAGTGAAAGAAATAGTTCCATTTGAACTTAGAATTTTTACGAGCATAACCAACTGATTTATTACCTAGCTAATAAGCAGTCATTTGTGGTTAATACCCCTACAAAACGTCCTAGATAGTGGAGGTGACTTGAAAATTAAAGAATTTAATTGTAATTACCTGTGCAAACTCGGTCATGAGTTCTTGTACATGATTCCGACTGGTAGAAATTTTCAGGGCATGATTTGGTGCTGCAGGCTACAAACGAAAAAAAACACGTGATTTGAGTTAATTTTTTTTTTGTAATAACGTAATTACAAGTAGATTCTCTTAAAAAAAAGTACATCAGTTACTGTTCCGTAGACTCCTGAACTCCACCTGGATTCTTATGAGCTTTTAGCCCCGACGACCGAAAACTTTAACTCGAAAACCATCTGAAGATTTCCATTTCGAAGATTCCGGAAAATTCCCCACGAGTTTCGAACGCTACGGGAGGGTTTCCGAGACCTTCAGGTTCTGACAGACAACTGTAAAGTAGGAATTGACGCAGGACTCTTGTACACTTTACTAACGTACCTTTGCATGTGATCCCGTCTCCCCAATAGCCATCATTGCACGTGCACATAAAACCACCAATTGTGTTGTTACACATGGATTGCACGTGACAGTTGTGTTTCTTGCTTGTGCATTCGTCAATATCTGTTAGATAGTTAACATATAAACAAGACATCGGATCAGAGAAAGGGAAAGTGGAAAAGAGCAACGATAAAGAGAACAGATAAGTATATAATCAAACACCTCATTGAGGGTCTATAGAGGACTTGGTGTTAGAAAAATGAGGTGTAGAGAAAGAGGGTGAAAACAAAAAAACATTTAACCAAGAAAACCGGAAGTTTTCAATATACTCTCTTATCATTCTAACACACTATCCCCATTGACAATTGTCCTGTTATCATAGATAGACTAAACAGGTTTCCATCAGTGTATGATGCTTTTTTTCTTTAATTTTTACGAGAAGGAAAACAGGAGAGTGTTTGTACATACCCTGACAGCCTTCCGCTGTCATCTCGTAGCCTCTCAGGCACAGGCATTTCTTTGATTGCTCTTCACATCCGAATTCACAGGCGTTAGAGCACTGATCAAGGGACGATACTTTGTGTGAAACTGGAGGTACAGCTAAACAGAGCAATCATATATAAAACAAAACAGAATTAAACTTTCGTGCCATTGAAGAGATGTTAGTGTGGTTTTCTAATGACTGTGAAAATCGAGTGTATGGTCGCGTTGGTTTTGCGTTTACCTAAGCTCTCTATTACTCAGTAAAAAGTGCTGAACGCGATCTAAACGGTTAGAGCAAAGGCGCGCCAAAGTCATGTGCATTGTGGTCATAAAGAAGACTGGCAACTTTTACTTAATAAACACTTCTTTAACTTTTACAAACGAATTTATGTCAGTTCAGTTTTACTTTGCTTCGAGTTCATGCGTGGAGAAATGAGTTGGGACATAAACCGATCTAGTCAAACTAAGAGGATTCTAAGTTTTCAGTCTTACCAAATTGTTGAAAATGTTGTACATTCAACCCTGCAGACAGTAACAACCTTCCATGAAAATCTTTCTTAAAGAAAATCTTTGAACCATTCTTGACAAAGCTGGCTGGTACGGTGATGACGATCTTTGCTGAGGGGGCACTGCTCGTCGCCAAGGCAACAGCAATCAAAGTAAGCACCATGAAAGCTGCTCGCGCAGACAGGAAGGTAGAGGATTGGGCGCGAGGAGTTCTGGAGGGCTGAAGAGAATCACGTCTTTTTCCTTCCAAGTTCAAGTTTAAAGAGGTTGAATCTGCGATGAGATAATTTCAATTAGATCAAATGAACAAATTTAGAGTGTAGTTGTTTTTCACAGTTTTACGATTAACGGATGACTATCACTGATTTCTAGGTAGAGTACAGCAAAATTCATTTCTCAAGGCGTCTCCCTACAGTAAAGACACACCATGAAGACAATTTACGTTAAAGGCTTTTGTTCTTGGGCCATCGTAGTTTAACGAGGAATAAAACACAAATAGCGGTGATAAACATATTAAACTTACGCATTTTAATAACTTGACGT